AAAAGTTGTTTTTAAAAATAAGAAAAAGTTAGTGAAAAATAAATAAAAAAGGAATTTATGAAAAGTTTAGATTTAAAATTTTTGAATTTTTACTATTTAAAATATTTTTAAGGTTAAAAAAAAATTTTAAATCTAAGTTTTTAAAACAAAAATTTAAATTTATGAAATATAAATAGTATCAAAGAGTTGAGGCTCCTAAAAACTCACCCAAACATACCCTTAAATTCATTACCCATAACCAGTAAAAAAAAGGTAAAAACTCAAAGTACGTCCACCAAACATGCGCTAAGGAATCTGGTTTACCAGTTTTCTTTACCTTTTTACCCGCTGATTCATGGGGATGTAAGGAGGAAAAGAATCCACGCGCAAGAGAAGGGTGTGAAGCAAGGTTTTCAAAACCAAATCAGCGGTTAAACCATTTTGACTTTTAATTCATGATTTTAATGGTTGAATCAATTTAACTAAATAAAAAACTGAGTTAATTGAATTTAAAAGTATATGTTAAATATAATATAATACAATTCTTAGACTCTAGAAACAATACATTAGGGAGGACTAAAATCCCCTAAATTCTCTCTCTTTCCCCCTTTTCTCTCCCTTCTCTCCTGCCTCTGCCTCCCTTCTCCGTCGCTGTGTTGTTTTTGCTCAGAAGCCTTTGAGCTTCCGAGGTTTTGATGCTTGAGCCGCCGGGTTTCCTGGCCGTTCAAGCATGGTTGGAGCCGCCCTGTGCTCCCCGCTCCGACGACCCTCCCGGGTCTGTCGGTTTTTGGGTCCCCTTTGGTGACCCCTTTGGTTTTCTTGTTTGTTCTTGTTGTTTGGTTTTTATGTTTCTTGTATAGTTTGTTTTTCAGATCTGGCGACTCTCGCTCTCTCCTGCAGATCTTGTTAGGGGTTCGCTGTTTTTTTGGGTTGTTTGCGGATTCGGCGGTGGTCCCTCCATCCGGCAGCTTCTCGGTGGGGTTGCACGCGGGGGATCCCAGATCTGGCAACCTCGCGACCCACCTGTTGCCTCCGCCGGATCGGGTCTCTGCATCGGCATCCGGGAGCCTGGCGCACCTTCCACATGGGTAGATTGAAGGGTGTCCCGTTCGGATCGCTCGACCGAAGGCCGCGGTATAGCTGGGTCCTTAGTGGTTGTTCGAGTGTCATGTGCACCTCCCTTCGGCCTTTGGATTTGGGTCTACTCTAATTTCTTGCTCCTGTTGTATTTTTACTGTTTATTTATCCTGTAGATGTTGTATGGCAGTGTTTGAATTGATCCATTTTCGTTATGTTCAAAAAAAAAAAATATAATACAATTCTTTGCAAAAGAAAAGAGGTAGCTCTAATGGTTGGAACACTTGTCTATTTCATATAGAACTAGAGTTCAAATCTTAAATGTGTCAAATTTATTCGTATCTCCTTTAATCTTGTAATATAAGCAAAAATTAATCTAACATAAATAAAATAACTAAACCAACATCCAGCATGAAGGGAGGTAGCCAAGAGCCAACTCAAAATACCTTAACTCTCAAAATCCACAATTGCTCATAAAAAAAACCTATAATACGATTAGTTAACATACTTAATCTCAGCTCAAATGTACTTTTTTATTATAGGGCTAGCTTGTAAAGAATAAAATGTCAGTTTGCAATATCTCAACACCCACTACTTTAGCTTTTGTATCCACTAAGCAATGGTAGACAAAACTAGGAGAGAATGAGAGAAGCATAGGCAAAGAGTGGGTGGATACAGTAGATAAAGCATATCATTCCTATATCTTTTGTATGCTGATCTGTTAAAACATAAAACATTTGGATTAAATTAATCATGAATTGGGGAGATGGTCTATAAGACTGTAACTAATGTGAGAATTTTCTTTTATCCTTCTCATGAAATAATTTAAAACCCATATTGAGCAGTCAATGAATCTAGTAAATTCTAGAGAATCTAGTAAATTCTAGAAAATCTAGACTTTCTCTATGTTAAGTCCACCCATAAACAAATTATTTAAACTTCTCACCATTGCAGCAGTGGAGCAGTAGTGGCGTAGCAGGGGCACAGTAGCGGCGTTGAAGCAATGCAGCAGAGGATTTAAAGGGAAGGTCAAAGGGGAAGGTCGAAGGTGACCTAGGTGAGAGACACAAAGAGTCCGAGAGTGAGAGGAGACAGAAGCAGTGTTGTGAGAAGTGAGATATGGAGAAATGAATAACAAAATAAGGTTAATTAAGGTTAAAAGCATTGGGTTGGGTTGGGTTGGATTAAAAAAATTGGGTTAAATTTTATTAAATTGGGTTTGGGTTTAAAAATTATATTAAATTTAAAATGAAATTTTTTTAAAAATTTAATTTTTTTTAAAAAATTTTCGTAAGGATGGAAATCCTTGCGGAGCAGGAAAAATTCCCAGTGAAATTTTACAAGAGGAAAATACCCCTCGTTCCCGCTTCGCGGGAAAGAATATTCCTCCTCACCTCGTTTTCGTAGCAGGGATCTGCACGGGCCGAGGCAAATTGCCACCCCTAGGGAGAAAGAATCGGTGTGTGGTTCACTTGCATGATTGAGAGTGGGCATTGGCGTTTTCGGGATCGAATATCCAACGGCTCGAAGCCGGCGGATTTGGGGGTCTTTGGTGGCAAACCCCATCTTAAGCCCCTCAACTTTTCCAACAATTAGCGATGAGCCCCTAAACTGAAACATGAGCAAATAAGCCCTTCAACAACAAGATTGAAGCAAATTAGCCCCTCTGCTAACGAAGCTTCGTGACACTGTCTATTGAATGGCTTGCTTGGCATTGGCTTTACACGTTGCATCCAAAGGTTCCGTTTAGGGACCTAAATGAGTGAATCCTGTTGTACCTATGATTTTGATGATTATAAAATACATTTGAGTGACTAAGTGATTTATTTAAGTGTGTAGTTAAATTGCCAATATACTGCAAAGTAAGCAAAATGAGATTGCATTAAAAAGGGCTCAAAGGGTAAAAAAATGCAGAGAGCCGGCTTAAGAAAATTGGAGTTGACTCTGGGGGGCAAAAATGTAGAGAGCCGGCTACAGATTTTGCTAAGTCAGCTCTACAGGCCAGAAATTCAACTGTTATTTTGGCGTGCGCGGAGAATGAAAGCAGAGCCGGCTCCCACTTTGTAGCTGGCTATAAGGGTGCATTTAATGCACAATAGTCGAGTTATTTGAAGATTATTTAATACGTTTAAAGTTGGAATCCTAAAGCCAGCTCTAGGCTTTGTAGCCAGCTATGGAAGAAAACAGAATGTGCAGGAAACCCGCAAAGCCGGCTCTCCTAACAATCCTACAACTCAAGCTTTGCGTCCTGCAGGGCATTTAATGGCCCCCAATGGCTAGAAACGGCTATTTTCGAGCAAGGGGCTATAAATATGGTTGGTAACAGATTTGAAGAAGCTAAGAGAGTATTGTATTGAATATCTTTACCTACCTACATGAGCTTTAACTTGAGTTTTTTTATCTTTGAGAGATTTTTGTTTGTAATCCTCTTCTTGTACTATTAGTGAGTGATCTTGGGGGTGTATTGATTCCTTCAAGAGTGATATGTAAAGAGAATCTTTGGGGTTTATCTTGTAAATGGGTGAGATTTGAGAAAAACACCCTTCTTCTTATAAAAAAGGATTGAGTGGCTCCATTAAGCCACCCTTGTTGTTGTTAGTGGAGAGTGTGGAGAAAATCCTTGATGAGTGAAGCCAAGGTAGAGGATTAGGCTCCAAGTGGTTGGACCGAACCTCTATAAAATCATTGAACAAGCTCCTCTTCTCTACTCTCTTTATTTTTGATTTTGTGGTTGCAAAGAGGGGAAAGTTTTTGAAACTCCAATTCAACCCCCTCTTGGAGTACATTGAGTCAACAAATCCAAAGTCATGGAATCCAAGTGCTCATGTTATAAATTCTGAAGGACTAAATTTGCTATTTTCCCATTGAGAAATTCCAGAAAAAGGTTGACAACCACGACACGGGTTTGGTGTCGAGGCATATGCTGTGGTGTCAACACCATTGGTTAAGCATTGGAAAAAATAAGATCCTTATGAAATAAACAGAAACGCTAACAGTTACACTGTAATATTGACATTCTAAAAACTTAGTGTTTTTATTCTTTTCACAGATTTTACTTCTTTTATAATAAGATTTATTAAAATTAATATACACAAAAATAAAGATTATATTTTTAACTATCAAATAAGTACATTTATTTTTTTGTTGGCCGAAAAAAAAAAAACTACCATTTGAAATGTTATCTTCTTGCACTTACTATCAATTTACAAATAAAAAATAATACAACCACCAAACCAAGCATCACAATAAAAGCATTTCTTTAAAACTTATTATCTAGACAACAAAACACACTTATATGTTGTATCTACTGTAGATTTCATCTTTCTAAAGCTAGACTTAATAGCTCTCATCCTCACAACTACCTTGCCTATAACTTTGGCAATGTCACAGCATCTCCCCCATTTTGCACCATCTTGGCTAAGCTCTTCAAATTCATATTTCAAACTTTTATATTCTAGTTTTAGATCCCAAATAATATTTTGTGCTTCCAACAATTTCACCATCATATCACTCAAATGCATTACATACTTCCTCTTCCTTTTGTTGTAAAACATAATAATTAAACAAAAAAAAGGCATAGCTGAATTCCTCAAAAAGGTCAATTAAACTAAAAAAAAAAAAAGTATACAATAAACTAAAAAACATGAAAATTTCCCTAAATTCACCCCAA